GTATTTTTGCTTGCACATGATTGGATGATGGAAATCAGCAGAGTTTTACCTCATTCACTTAGCTAAGGGAAAATTCCCCTGGAAAGTGAACAGACGATTTGCCTTTAGTAAATCAACTCCAATGACAGAGAACAAGTATGCAGACAAGACATTCTGACTGTCTTTTACTTTCCTGATCTGCATGCTTATTCCAGGTGAGAATGTATTGAGAGCAACCATTCATCTAGCAATTCAGCAGTATCAGCTTTTGCTTTAAAAACATTATAGTTTTTTAAGTTTAATGTGTAAAATCTGTGAAAAATCTACCAAGGAGTGTTGGCCAACCACACCAATGCTAGAGTAGAAGCAGCAAATAAACAATAATAATAATGATAATAATAATAATATAGATAAATATGTAGGTTGCCAGATTGTGAATGACTTCAAACAAGAATGCAGCTAAGCACCTCAAAACTCCTGATCAGAATATTTGTTTCAAGTTAGTAACACAAAGAGAACTAAGAATGAGCATGACAGATAGGCAACTAGCATTTTCAGAAGTAGAGGTCAGCAGTGGCTGCTTATATGTTTCTCTTAGTACATGATTCTTTTAAGCGATAGAATCAGCAAAAATAGCCATCCATAGCTGAAATTGCAATAATATAGGCTTTACATAAAATGAATGGAGGTGTTCCAGTACATCTTCCAAGTATAATTTTAAATGTGGGGATGCTAGAATGGTATTCTGCATTGTTGTGTAATGTATTGCTGGGAATTGTAGTTCTCTAAAGCCAATGCCATTCTGCAATGCTGTACAATGTATTTCTGAGTTAGTGGCAGAACTACCAGGGTCGCAGCAGTCATGCACAGCCCTGACGAGGCATCCCTCCACTACCAGTGTGCTTTACATTTCCTAAACCGATAAATACATTCACACTACTGTTACATGGATGGCAAAAGTGGCAGACGGGCGGGGAGAAGGCGGGGGAAGAGGCAAAGTGGGAGGGGGGGTCAAGTTGCTGCACCATGGGCCTCTGGGTTGTACTTGCCCCCTGGGCTAAAAGTTGCCAGTCAGCCCCTGATCTAAGCTTACTGTAGTATTTTAGTAATTTTAATTATGCACTTGTTCCTACTTCCTCCTATACTTTCTAGTACAATGGTTTATTTTTACTGAAGATAACCCCTATTTTCAGCATCACTGCCTGCAGCCTCCTAGCTATTACAGTATGTATCATTCTGCAATGAATCAGTTGCTTTTTAAAGGGCAGCTGTACCTTTCCCTAAACTTTCAATTCTCAATATACAGCACACTCAAGTCTCTTGGGAGGCATGGCCAACATTAAAAAAATGAGGATGTAAACACAGGAGCAGGCCAGGATTTTTGAAATGAGGTGAGTAAGCACCTGTCCTTCAAAGTCTGCTCATTCAGCTCAATGCAGAACAGGTCTCTCATCACCAAACGGTATCCTCTAGTGGTAGCCTGGAACAACTTGTTCATTGTAAAACAGACTGAATGCCAGAGCCATGCATGCTGGTGTTGGCAGGATTAATCTTCAGCAAAGGTAACTCATCATACTGGCACTGGAGAGGTACAAGGTCAAATATATAATTCATAGTGAAGGAACAGTTACACTTTAAAATGTTATTAAATCCTCCATGTCAAAACCCATATATTACAGCAGACACGATCACTTACATTGTTTGATGTGTCCCGTCTTTCTGAATCTTTCCATGCTTTTGTAATCATTCTTTAAGCATTCACTAACTGGTGTTTCTGCTCTAAGAGTGGCTACATTGTAGTAAAGAGTTTGATGGAACCACCCTTATGAGCGTGCTCCCAGTTGGACTACATCCTGACATTCCGATGCTCTGGCAGGCAGTATTGGCAGCTCTGAAGCCCATTACTGCAAAGCTACTCTTCTAATTCAGCCCCTCAGGATTTGACTGAAAGCAGCCATTACCCATACTTTGCATATACCTGATACAGGTGTGTTGTCTACATGGCTCAAGATGTTGTGCAATTATTGTCTTGCGAGGGTTGTAAAGTAATTTAAAAAACGTACGATCTGCCCATCTTGGACAGGCAGATAGTACTTGTGATCATCACAAGCCCGCCCCTCTGCGGGGCGGGCTTCCGATGACTGCAATGCTGAACGGGCAGTGTGCGCGTGCGCACACCGGCCCGTTTGGCAGTTATCTCTCGATTATGCTTAAAACCAGCCGAAAATCGTATGATTCTCGGCTGGTTTTCCAACATGCTCGAAATACAAAAGTCGTGCGACCGTACAGTAGAAACGGTCGCACGCCTTCCATACACTGCACGATTATTGAAAATGCTTGCCGAATGCCTTAGTAACACTATACGCATGTTAATCAGTGTTGCTCTTTCATTAAATTCTCAACGCATGTGTGAAAGAGGGACAGTTGTCTTCGTAGAAGTTGAGAGTGGTGTATGTTATTTGTCGGCGAGCTCTGAATACACTCCGGCAGCTGAAGGAGGCTCTTAGATGGTAATAAATAAATATGCAGCGCTATGGGTCCAGATTATACTGGTTAAAAAGGGGTCTAATTTAAGGGATCTAAATAGGCCAATAACCACAAAATGTGTTTGAAAATAAATAAAATGTGCAAAATTGCAATTGGTGCATATAAATAAATATCTATCCTGAATTCATGTGCTAAAGGTATACACCATTACCTCAATACAGACTATAAATCACTACTGATCATAATTGTGCAAACGAATAAAATCGTGCAATAAATACAATACAAATACATACATATATATACACACATACAATTGAAAGTGCAGAAATATAAATTCATAAAAATCCAAATGATTGTATCAAATCCAATCCAATATTTTCCCTCTCTTGTCTCCTTTTCCGAACACCGCGGGGTGGATATCGCCGCTGATTACTGTGAGGAGAGTGTTAACCCTAAGCTAGGCCATCTGCATACGGGTGGATTTAGTGGACGGTTAATGAAACCAACAGGGATTGCTTCAGAGCAAGTCTTGTGGATATTTTGGAAATAATGCAACAGAACTTTTCCCTTCCATGATGATCATGAAGCAAAGGAAGTAAGCATACCCCCCGTGTTTTGCCATATATTGCCGGGATAGAGGTATAGGACTGCTTTATTATACCCACCAGTGTCACTCATCTCACGTTTGTCTTGAGAGTGGCATTTCAGCCTATTGGAGGGACTGCACCTTATTATATTCATTTGTTAGCAGAATCTTAGATTAAGATAGTTCTTATGTTCATAATTTTTCACTTATTTATAGATATATTTAGATGTTTGGATGCTTGATCACTGGTGTCTTATAGGAGATGTTTAAACATTATGCTGGACAGTGAGTATTAATCAGCGTAAACCCTGATGATATTTTGGATTTTTGATATATTCGTACACATTCAACTCTTGATCAATTGAAATCCACGGAGTAGAACACATGTTGATATTTATAACTCCTTTATCGTGAGATTGGTACACAGGACCTAGCGCAACAAAATAGCATCAATTAATATACACGGGTTCACTACCTCACATTGTTGCGGCTGGTCTAGCATCACTAATTACTCCTAGTGCAGCGACTTGTTGTTTTTGATGTGTGAAAGAGCCCTTATGCATGTTTTTATTTTCATGTGTATGTGTATTGTGACGGTGGTGCTTTTACTTTTTTTGTTATTTATATGTGATTAAATTGTATTTATTAACACTTTTTTTTTCTTTCCCCACTTAAAGTTATTGCTATCACAAGGGGATAACAAGCCCCCTATGTGATACCATTGGGCAGGTGACAAGTACAATTTCTGGAGATATCGGGTGTCTATTAAATCCCTAATGTCTCTCTTGCCCTCTGCTTCAGATGATCAAGTGCAGAATTTGCTTGATCTGCTATTTAGTCAGGATTTTGACAGCCTTGAACCCCGAAATGCTCAGAGCTGAGCGCTTCCAGGTTCATGCTGTGCAGAGGAAATCAAGGTTCCTGTACAACCTCCTCGCCACCAGCTTTACAGCTGCCTAGGTCAATTTTACATTAGCCTGCTAAAATAAAAACCAAAAAAAAAAAAACAAGCTCATGGCTGCTGCGTGTTTCAGGGCTGGTCATAGGAGATACGTCCTGAATCCTGAAGTGGTTAATACTGTTTTGTGTTCTTTTGTTGGTCATTCATAAAGATATTACAGTCGCCTCTAATTAGTTCAGTGGTGTTAGATTTTTTTCCATCACCCAAATGCCAGTGTGGTATTTGTACTTGCATAATTTCAGGCTTGGTTTTGTTCTGTGACAGCACAATAGATAGTTTCTTATGTAGTCTTCTATATATGACAACATGTAGGCCCCAGCAAGAGATGCTGGGACTGTACTGAGAACTATTACTCTTGCCCATATGTAATTTTGAAGTGTACCTGTACCGATACAATTAAGATTAGACTATTGATTTAACAATTAGCAATAGATTTTTAAAACACACCCTTCTCCAGCTGTTTGTACTGCAAAGTAATTCATTCTCTAAGATACTCAAGGATCACAACAAATATTCTGAAGTTGTTTTCCTTCGGTGTCTAACAGTTCAGAAACAGTGACTAACCGACCCGAAGCGAAGTGAGCCGAACGCTGTTTGGCTATTCACTTCAGGCTTGTACGTCTGATTCCAGCCATATATCGGCTGAAATCAGCCGTACATCGCGTGGCTTCAGCTGGCTACTCGCTGCTGTTCGGTCTACTCTCATAAATGCCGAACAGCAGTGATTGAATAGCCGAATGCTGCCGAGCGGCATTCGGCTCGGCTATTTTGCTCGGTACCTCTGTGGTAGCGAGCAGAATAGAAAAACAGTTAAAAAAGTAGAATAAATAAAATAGAAAACGATTGGGCGGAGCTAGCAATAACAGCAGGCAACTGTTTTCTATTGGCCGGGCGGTTCTGCTGCCATCAGAATGAAAAAAAAACACCATAGGAATGCATTGCTACATTCCTATTGGCTATTTCAATTTGCAATAGCCAACAGCAAACTAGCTATTGCACCCGCCCTCTGCTGCTGTCAATCACTAGAGAGGACCTGATGGAGAACTTTAGGTCCACCTCTGCTGATTGACAGCAGCAGTGGGCGGGTGCAATAGCTAGTTTACTATTGGCTATTGCAAATTGAAATAGCCAATAGGAATGTAGCTATGCATTCCTATGGTGTGTAAAAAAAAAAAAATATTCTGACGGCAGCAAACGGCTCTGATGTCAGATGTAAAAAAAAAGACAATAGAGCAGGAAAAGGTTTACTCTGCTCGATTGAGCAGAGTAAAACTTTCCCGGAGAAAGCTTTTCTCTCCTGGGCAGCCAGGAGTCGCTATCTAATAGCGGGAGACTCCAGGAGCGTCCGGGAGAGTTGGGCTATCTGGAGATCAGCATTCCTGGTTACCTGGTAACTAGGGACGCTGATCTGTCTGTGCAAGTGGCCGGAACCAGCCGTGAGATGATGGTTGGCTCTGCCCAGCAGTCAGGAGCAGGCTGTCGGCCGGCCAATGGCCGGCCGTTCGGCCAGCTTGGGCTTTCACCTCGGCTTAGTCGAGCCGAAGCATATGCCTATGCCGAAGCATATGCCTTCGGCTCAACTGAGCCGCTCGACCGACTTCGGCAGCTGTACGGGCTATAGTGAATAGCCTGTACAGCAGCCTTTTGGTTCTAATGAACCAAAGGGGTCCTGGGGCCGAAGCTAGCCAAAGGATCAGCCGAAGCTACGGCTAGATCCTTCGGCAGCTTAGTGAATATACCCCTAAGTGAACTGACCGTTCTAAATATTATAGGGATTACACTATTTTCCTATTAATGATCTATTTTTTGAACAACCCAAAGATGTGTCTGTGTATACCAAGGTACGATTTTCTCTGCACAGGTTTCATTTTTTTTACCATCATGAAAGTTAAATGTCCAACAGTCATTGGCTGTTAAATCCCAAAAAACGACTTATTCCCTTCCCGGTGGCATTCCAAGCAACACATTTAATTTCTACCTTTCTGGATGCAAAGATTTAGAATTATCTATTGCACTCCTTATTTAGTCAAAATCTACATTGAGCATTATTAGTTTTTCACTTCGTTGGCTTCTCAAATTACATTGCAAACATTTTACTCCCAGGGTTCTCTGCAAAACATTTGCATTTTATGAGCACATTCCATTAGAATCATAGAGTACCACTTATATTTATTCATAGGCGCTGGAAACTTGAAAGTTTTTAACTCACTGCATCTGACTGTTCAAGCAGATCTCTGTATACCGGATAAACAGCTAGATACACTTCACTATTAGTAAGGCAGCTTGGGGGTGATTATTAGCCTTTATTAGCTAAAGAGCGGTTCATAGAGAGAATGCATTGCCTTGTTAGTTCCCTACTTGATAGGCAGTCTCTTAGTTGTGCATCAAAGTGTCAGTCCACACAGAAAGTTGCTATTTTAGTTATTGGTGGAACCCGATGGGCATAGTCTGCCCCTGGCTTTTTTTTAGGCTCTGAATATTGCAACAATAAGATCTTGCCATTATTTCTGACTGTGTTGTTGTCCATCTGGAAGGTTTGGGTATTCCTACTCTCCAATATGTTGTAGCATCTCCTTTTGGATTATCCATAATATGAAATAAAGAATTGAACTAGAAGTTTGGGAATCCCACGGAATGACAACAGAAAGTGTGCAGACCCAGGAATGTAAACATAAATATCATATTATCAAAGCCCCTGGGAAAGAGATATACATTATTTGTCAGGTGTTTGAGCCCTCCTTAACATCTAACAAAACCTGAAATATCTATTTTAGGTAACTTGACCATTTGACCAGTAGAGTACCAATTGTCATAGCAGCCCACACGGGTAGAAGGGGGCCCCATTAAGGATTGCAGAAGTTGCTGTTGATCCTGTACCACCTATGACATTTCCAACCAAGAAGAGCTGACATCAGATACACAGGAGAAGACTATGCAGACAACTCTCCTATTACCTGTCCTTCCTTTTGATTTTAACGGTTCACTGGGGGGGCTCAATCAAAATTTTGCTATGGGGCCCCATGATCTGTAGTTACACCCCTGCATTTGATATGAACCTGTGACCAAGTTATGAACATTCAAGTATTTGCATATTCTTAACAAGCAGTAAACAGGTTTTAAAACAAGCCCTTACAGACATCTGTAGCTGCAGCTACTGTGGAACAATTCATCCTCAAGGTTCACAGGAGAAGGGCTAAAGTTATTCTTATAGCTCCTCCTGACCCAGCAGCAAAGGAGCAGTCTTGCACCTTTTCTAATATAAACCTTTCCAGAGTGTACTCTGGGAAGAGAGAGCATGGTGAGCTGACCAGATTAGTAGGGGAGAAGGTGAAGTAAACCCAGGTCTGATATTAAAAAAAACAAATAGTTGTGAGGGGTTCAAAAGTAAAGTCCTTAGATTGCTAGTAACATTATTGGTTACATATGATGGAGCAATCTTTTGGCTTATTTAATGGACTTAAGAACTACAGCACGTTACTCGTGTGTATTTGTATAATCTATAGTGTAATTTCTGAAAACAAAATATGATGAACTGGTTGTACTTACATGTTGGAAATATGTTGCCATCGTGGGATGACTGAAATACGTAATTGAAACAGTATCCTGGTATTTAGCTGTTTGCCTGGTTTAGGTTTAACTGTACAATTGGAAAGTGCTGGCATGATTGTTTGCAAAGTGTAATAACCGGTGACAACCAAAAAGATTCGATTTTTATGGTCACATGGCCGCAGTAATGTAAAATCCAGTTTTATTTCAAATGTTCCTATAATAGCTTAGGGTATGTTTTTTTCCCTAATTCAACAGGAAATGACCATTGTTAATATGATACCATGGGTTTTATTTTGTCTCATGACACTGAACAAGGGGTGTCATCCTTAAAAGAGATTTACACACTTGTATTTCTTACAAAGCTTTCTGTAAGGTGAATATGATTTTTTTTCTGTGGGCAATACCGTAGCTCTTCTACTAGATTTGATCAAGAATGATGCCATGAGAATCCAGTTGTAAAGCATACAGATCTGCCAAAATATATGAATTGCTTCTAGGGTTCTCCTGTTCTAGTCTGCCACCCTGACTGGCATTGTTCTAACTGGCACCATGACTGGCATTGTCATTGGAAAAAAATGATGTTGTACGGTGGAGATACCCTTTGTATTCAGAATTAAACATGTAGACATGGGATTACACATGTATTCTCTGTACCCAACCAATAGAAGCCACTTGACATGTTTGCAAACAATGGCAGAGCTACAGATGTTCAGAAAATCTAAAAAAAAAAAAAATGCTGCTCACATGAAAGAAATCTCAGAACACCTGTTGCTCATGATGACAGCCAGCTGTGACATTATTCTCTGCTTTAATGTTTATATTGTTTTATATATGCAATTTTTAGTGGTTTCTATAAAGTAATTAATATTTTTAGTGTTACAAACATTTCTTCCTCAGAGTATGAATCTATGGCTCTCATTCACGTTTCGATGTGAATTGAGCCTCTTAGCAAGAACTTGGCACCTGTTTATCTGAATAAATGCAACATGAACTGATTCACTAAACCACAAGAAAAACCAAGGTTTCAATTTATAATGAGCATGTCAGTAAAGGTTTTTAATGCTATTTTCCATTACTAGAGTGGGCCATAGACAGCAGACCATGGACTGTGGGAAATCTACCTGTCCTTTACTTGATGGAGACTTTTGGCATGCAGTAATCAACTAATCATGTTCGTGTGTTAGCCTTTATATATGGCTCTTTTATCACAAGGAATTCCGTCCAATAACCTCCTTCTACTTTTTCATTGAACCCTGAGAGTATGTGCGCATTTGCTACAAGACTGCCTCCACTTTGCTTCAGTATAGCTGGGCGGATGCTGTTCGCTTGGCAGTAGTGCCCTTAGATTGTGCTGATTTTCTCCTACACTCCAAAGACATGCTGGAAGGTTAATTGGCTCCTGTTTCAAGCTAGCCATACACTGTTATCTTTTCTTCATTCAACCTGCCGGCTGAACAAAGAAAATATAGCAGATTCCTCCATCAACGCTTATGAGCATCGATGGAAGAATCCCCCGCTGCTTTCCTTGTATTCTGATTCTAATTGCAGCTGATTGAACAAAAATGTTCAAGCCTAAAAATGGATGGAAAAAATACACATAAACACACAATTGTAAATGCTAAAGCTTCACCAGAGTTCTGTGATCATCAGATTTTACATTGGTAATTCAGCTGACTGATATGTTTCTATTAAACAGTGTACAATATGCAAGTTAAACATAAACATTTTAAGATGCTTGAAAACAAAGTTCCACAAGAAGTTAAAAATGTGTATTAAATCCCCCAAGGGACCCAGTGCACATCACACTTGTCCCTATTCAAATCTCTGCAGGAGTTTAGAAATAAAACCACATTTTTATTACTGTGAGTACTAGCGGTATCCCCTCCCAAGGCTAAAGTCTGAATTATGGGTATTCCTATAGGGCAGGTAGAATGAGCACTGAGCCCCCCTCCATTCTGCAGCCCTCCATCTAATCTTGTAGCCCTGTGCCGTCTCTGCTTTCCTCTGCCAACATCCTTGTACAAAAAATATTTAATTGTATTGGTAGAAAAGACTAAGTCCAGACTCAACAGACTTTTACAAACCATTTATAAAATACAGGTCATGCCATGCAGTGCTGGGTCTCACAAAGTTTTCTTGATGCTGCTAGATGCTAGTCACATGACTTTAACAGGTGACTTGACTGAGTTATACTCCTGCTTTGATTTTTCTTCATTCATCAAAATGAATGGCACTTTAAGCCATAACACTATTTTATAGAAGGGTTCTAACTTTTGCACCTGATTTCTTTACCCAAACTCACAACTCATCGCCTCTACAAACTATGCTTGTTAAAATAGTTTTTTCTTATTTCATATCCAAGTTTATTTGATATTAAAGTCTACTTTGCAGTCCATAGTGACAAAGTTCAAAGGGAAATATAAACTGCCTATGACCTTAAAGGTTTGGCATATGTCAGTACATCATCCTCAGATCCACTCAGAGAGTTACTTTGCCTTACCTAACAATACAGGGAAGCTGTGTCTTACCCGTGATATTGTACATTGGCATTGCCTGGTGAAACATATGGTGATATAAAATAAACACGTTTGAGGAAAAAATAAGGTGATTCCTTGTACAAAATATGGCTGTCACAGCTCCATGGAGAACATGCAACTAATTGACTGTTCTTTCATTGAAGTTGAATGTATTAATGCCGCAATAACAGCAGTCACATTTAGTAACTGTTTAGGGACTGCGGTTTCATACGGAGAGACTGTTTTTGTGGTTATTGCTGTCATTACTCTTCATGAGGCAGATATACAGCATGACGGCAATGTAGCTGAAGGAGCAATAGTCCAGCCTTAAGTGGATGCCCTCCCAAGCACTGAGTAGAAATAAATCACTCTACTCCCTTCATAAAACACTCATAATTTAGGTAAAGTATACTCTGCTAGTGGAAGCTGCCACTTGGTACAGTTTGTTTTATTCTAAGCCAATGTACGGTGTGAGAAATGTGTAAGATTAACTTTTTGCTACATACATCTTGCTCTGCTTAGAGGTCAGCATGGGATTAACATTTACAGTATAGTGTATATAAAAAGTATAGCCAAAACTGTAATTGTTTTACTTTTTTTAGGTTTTGTTACTGTTTGTCTCCTTGCTGGGGACCAACATCACCAAAACAGAGGCTGAGGGAATACACACAAGCACAGGAAGAACATGCAAACTCCTTGCAGATATTGCCCTGGCCAGGAGTCAGACCAAGGACCCCTGGTGCTGTGAGGCAGGAGCTCTAACCACTAAGCCACTGTGCTGCCTGTACTGCTTAGGTATGAATGGACACTGATGAAAACGATCTGAACATTGTAACACAATGCTCAGGTGTGAACAGAGGCAAATGCTTTGACAGACACTGAGGGAGTTATTCACAAAGCTAGCCGTAGGATCAGCTGTAGCTTCGGCTGATCCTTTGGCTAGCTTAAGTTGTGGGAGCAGTACGGGCTATTCACTATAGCCCGCACAGCTCCCGAAGGCCAAAAGCCAAAGGCATATGCTTCGGCTCGACTGAGCTGAAATGACAGCCAAAGCGAGGGGGGGGGGGGGCGGGCGGATCACGGCTGGCTTCGGCCAGTTGTAATAACAGATCAGTGTCCCCAAATGACCTGGGCATGTTGAACTGTCATTAAACAATGACAACTGGATGGAGGCGGCACCGCCCAGTTGTTATTCATTGGCGGGGACCTGCTAGAAGACTCTAGCAGGTGCCGGCCAATAGGAAACAGTTGGGCAGAGCTAGCTGCCACTGCTAGCTCCGCGCAATTGTTTTTTTGTTATTTTTTTTCTTCTTTTTAAAAACATCTTTAGTCTTTTTTTAGATTTTACATTTATTAACATTTTTTAAATCTTTTTTTTAACTTTTTTTTTCAACTTTTCTCATTGATTTCCTATTCTGCTCGGTACCACGGAAGTACCGAGCAGAATAGCCGAGCTGCATTCGGCTATTCACTCACTGTCGTTCTGCGCCAAGTGAAAAGGGGCGAACAGCAGCGAGTGAGTTGCCAGAGCTTCGGCTCAGCCGATCCAGATATTGGAGTCGAAGTCCTTCTGACCGAAGGCAGCCGATGTGAGCCAAGTGAATAGCCGGACGTTGTTCGGCTCACTTCACTACGGTTCGGTTATTCACTCGACTGCCTTTGGCAGCTGAGTGAATAACCCTCTGAGAGTCCTGAGATTGGTTGACCTGTGGTTTTGTAAAGTAGGGTGCACATGGTACAAATATAACGCAAACAGTGGGGGAATTCATAAGCATTAACGGAGGAATCTGTTCTATTTTTTCGCTCGGCCCATGGGTTGAATGAAAAAAATAGACATGTGTATACCCTACTTAAAGGACTCATGGGGGTTGATTTACTAACCTTATAAACACACCACGAACGTGTATACACCTCTGCAGTGTGTTCCCTCAAGACTCGATGTTCTTCCAGTTTAA